ATTGTGTGTACGCCACTGGGAACATGTTTGTGTTCCTGACCCTATAGTGTTCATTTAAGTTTTATATTGGTATACTGTGTAGGGCTGGTTCTTTCATTTACTTTATTCATTACTGATTGTTAGTTTATACTATATAAGGGGTTACCACATATGAATTTTCAGCTTGACATTCTCCCTGATGTTATTTGTTGTTTGGGGTTTCTGTTAAGATAATATTATACACTTACATTTGGCAGGGGGCATTAGATGCTGCTGTGCTCTCTCTTTATTACTTTAAAGATGACTTCTTGCTTCTCTCTCCAGTGGGCACTGTAACCCCACCTGGGTGCTATCACAGTGAAGGAGTTTAAGCATGCGTGGGATAGGCATTAGGCTATCATAGCTATACGATAAGGCCAGGGACTAATGAAAGTATTTAAAAATTAAATTAAATTGGGCAGACTAGATGGGCAGAATGGTTCTTATCTGCCGTCACATTCTATGTTTCTATCAACCAATGATGGCCCCTGAATAGAGAGGCCAACAGCACGCCTTCATTCAAAAGCAGCAGGCTCTGCTACCCACATGGAAACTCAAGGGGAATACCGTGAAATGTCTTCTTAAATGAGACTAGGCATGTACAAACCCTGCTGAAACAGGAAAGATTTCAAGCCTGCATCATTCTTGACGTGCCTATATGCTCTCAAGTAAGTTTCTCCAAACAGCTGCCAATGAGACAGGAGGAGCCCTGCAGAATTGTATTAAAGAGACACTCCTATATTTGTTTGGGTTACTACCCTCCCCTCCAGAAAAAGTGTTTCTAAACTACTGCAAATATTTATAATATATAAGAGGGGGCATATTTGCCCTTTCCTCCTATTGGTTATACTAACCTATGACCTAGTGTCCTTCTCTTGGCTCCCAACCATTGGCTGTGGCCCTCATACTAGTAGTCAGGGGGTGGATCTTTTACCCCCCAGCCCACATCCATGGTGAGTGGGGGCTCTAAATAATTATACAATAGGCATGTGCCATTGCCCACACCTCCACATATTGGCATGTAGACCCCCCATTCTTCCCCAACAGGTGGCTTGGAGTACCCAGTGTCCTAGCCCTAACCCGATTAAAATTAAAATACCTTCCCACCTATTCACTAAATGCTGAACATCAGCTAAATGGCAGCTGAATGCTGTTCGTGTGTCTCAATTCACCTGTTTTAAACTATTTAACTATTCACAAAATTCACCAATTTTTTTTTTCTCCATCCTAACCTTTAGTCGGGTACAGTTTGGCTGTCTGTAATCAGCTGAACCTCCATATAACATTCACAAACAGCTGAATTGCAAACAAATTACAACCAAATTGGGTTCAATATGTTGTTCCAATCCCCCTGATATGGAACAAAACCATTGCACCAAACTCTTAACAAGATAATTTACTAAAGTAAAAATTCTAAGTGGATTTCACATTTTATGCCAGAGTGGCCTGACAGCATAGCCAACTTCAGTTTGACCTGATTTGACCTTTTATTTGAAATTCGCTCTGAATTCTCCCTTTAGTGAATAACCCTATAAACCCCTTGATCTGAAGTCACCCTAATGTTACACCAAACCCTAACCCTATGAGGAATACATTATATATCTATATCTATATCTATATCTATATCTCTATATCTATATCTATATATATCTCTATCTATCTTTTTTTATAAAGCAGGGAAAATCAGTTTCAATTGGTTTGCAATTTGATTAATCTATTTTCTTATAAATTGCACTGCAGTAATTAGATCCATTTGAAAGTATCAATTCGCTCAATGCAGGTACCATTCGGTTGTTAGTAAATACTATAAACTACAGGGACATTTTCACATCCAAACTCGGGACAAATGATTTGAATGCAAATGAAATTGCAAAAGCAAATTTGAAGCTTTGTAAATAATTCCCACTATTTTACAATACAAAAAGCAAACAACCTTTTGTTTTACATTAAAATTGTGAAAGAAAGTTGTCCCTCTGGCACAGAAATGTTATTTGAGGACAGAGGAATTGTATTCTCTTCCTGTAGAAAATATACTGTTGTAAGCATTGTGAAAATGAATTAAGCTTGCAAACAGCCAGTGATTTAAATTTGTACTGAGTGAAAAGAGGCAACAATTTTAAAAGCTTGCCTTGCTCTTGAAATGCTGTAAGTTATCATGTTATATTTCAAGATTTGTTACACAAAGAACAGCATTGTAATTTTATAACAAGACACGGAGGCTCATATTGCATATCCCTTTCTTTACTGTCCACCAATAGCAGCAAAGAATACAAACAGAATGAAAAAATAATGAACATACAGTAACATAGGCCCCTCCCCGCTCAGGTCCCAGTATAATAGGCAGAAGTATAATAGGCAGCACTTCCTTTTCCTTCCCTTCCATTTCCCTCTTTCTTTGCTGCTCCGACACAAAGATAAGTACGTCACACTTTCTCTTTGTTTACTTGTTTATTAACTGCTATTGATATTATTATTGATATTATTATTGATACCCTGGTATTACACTGTATAGGGGTATCTGTTATTGGCTCTTTATTGTTTTCTATTTTATTTATTAGAGATTTGATTTATTGTTTTTTCCATGCTTGCATGATGCTTCACTTCTGTGTGTTTTTTTTTTTTTTTCCTGTGTGCCCAGGGTCCAGACCTCCCCTGTCATATACTTCTGTTTATTACCCCCCTTTTTCCTTGTATTTTTCCTTTCCTCCATCTTGCTGTTATCTTCCCTATCCCTTGGCGCCATTTTGCCCCCGTTTCTCCACTGTATTCGGCTGTTTTCGTGCACGAATTAAGCCCGTTCGGCTGATTCGTCACGTACACATGCTGCTCACTTTTCCCGATAGCACCATTCGCCTGTTTGCCGCGTTCCACTATTTTTTGCACAAACTGCCCGTTCGTCTCTTTTTCCCCTCTTCCTTATGCTAGTCTATCTATTTCCACAAATTCGTTTCTTTTTCTACCGAACGTTCGTTTTTTTTCTTAAGTTAGCAAATTTTCACACTATTTTGCCGCGAATCTTGTGAGATTGCCGGCTGCCATTTTCTGACTTCCTGTCTTCCTCCCTGCCTTGTGTGTGCGTGTGCCACTGGTCTGGGCCCTGGTGAGATCTTTTTCCTGTTTGCTTCAGTTTTGGGTGACTAACCCATACTATTCTAATACCTACTTAGGGATTAGGTCCTTCACTCTCCGTTATGCCTAAACCCAGAATACCTTCTGGATCCCCACCCCCTGGGGAGTCTGATGCCCCATTTGTTTTGGGTGAGGCCACTGTCACCTCGGGCACTTCACTCACCCTGATAGACAGAACCACCCACCCTGAAGGGGCACAATTCTTAGCGCTACAGTGCTCAGTGACAGACCCCATTATGGCAGCCATGGGGTCCATGTCATCTACCCTCTCCCATACTATTTTTCAGGCCCTATTGTCACGTCCTTCGGATGAGCATTACTCGGGCTCCACGATGCCTCTATCGCGTCCTCCTGTGGACCCGCCGTGAGAGGCACCCAGAAAGGCTACCCATAAGGCCAAACATCCCTTTGCCTCCAGAAACACTATGACTGGCGTACTTACGGTCGCCCCAGAAAGCGTGTCCCATCCATGCAAAAGAGCCTTCAGGTGAGGAGGCTAAGATTGAGTCGGACAGTGACTCTGATATGGATGCCGCAGATGTGGGCTTTGACCTCCCCGTCGGTCCCCTGGCCAAATTATTTGACTTGGTGGAAGACGCCAGAGCGGGGAACCGCATGGTTGACCCTGAAGACCTACGTGGTTGGGTCCAGAGAGCAATTTGTATTGCCTGGAGCATTAACACCTCCCTCTCTATAGAACGGCATAAAGCCATTTTATTTAAGAATCAACCTAAACTGGCCAATCTCGCCCTCACAGAAGCCGGTAAGGACGCCCAAGGCTTACTCTTCGGGGATTCCTTTATTAAAGATTTAGGGCGTTTTTGTTGGGGCATTTACAGCCCTTGACAAGGCCCAAGCCTCTATGGGATGGATTTTCCAGGGGCGGAGCTCCACCAGGGCCGGCAGATTCAGGAGCTGTCTGTCCGGCCGTACCTACTTCCAATCCCGTGGCACGGGATGAGGCTCCTTCCAGCAACGTACTAACTACCAGGAGACTAATTCCCATCCCACCTTCTTCCCGTCACGTGGACGCCAGTGGCGATCCAGAGGTTTCCGGGGCAACTCCAGTTCCAGATGACCCTACGGTGAGTTCCCTCATACCTCGTATTTCTTCTCTTGTTTGTGTAGGGGGCAGACTCCAAAATTTTGCTTGGGATTCATTATCAACTGGGAAAAGTTGTGCCTGATCCCCGCCACTCGCATGGAATTCCTAGGATTCCTCGTGGACTCGGGGGAGGCGACGCTAAGCCTGCCGATGACCAAGATTCGTTCCATCCGCAAAGAGCTTCGCAGGGCCCTCATCTGGCCCCAGCTCACTCTGCGACAACTTGCACGGCTCATCGGCCTACTGGCCTCGTCTATACAGGCAGTATTTCCGGGCCCGCTCCACTACTGAGCGCTGCAGCTCCTGAAAATAGCGCACTTAAGAGCCGGTGCATCCAACACGGATCTGGTGTCCCTGGACAGCGAAACAAAGGACGAATTGCGTTGGTGGATCCTCAACCTGTCCGCATTGAACGGCAAAGCGATCTTATGCTGGCTGCCAGAGTTCACGATCGACTCTGACGCAAGCCTTCATGGCTGGGGGGCCCATTGCGAGGGCATTTCGACAGGAGGCCGTTGGTTGGAATCTGAATCCTGGCTATACATCCACGCGCTGGAGCTCCTGGCAGGCTCCTTCGTACGGTAAGTGGGGCCGTGTCGTAATGGAGGTGCTTATGTACCTTGATTTGTTTAATCACTCTGAATTGTGGGACTGTAGATATGTGGAATTTTTTCCTTAGCCTGGCCTTGAAATTGGTTGCAAGTATCGACTTTAACCTGTGGGCTCCTGTTCCTTTATGTTTTCACAGCCTGATCCGACAAGATGGAATGCCATACTTCGGCTTGTGAGGACTCCTCCCGCTGATAAAGTTTGGTCCTTCGATCATCCGGTCGTGCTTCCCTGTTGTTGAAGTGTTATCCTCTTCAGCACTAAGTTGTCTACTTATTGGACATTATCGCTGTTTCTTGGTTTTGACATGATTTTCTACGGTCGCATCTTCAGAAAGAGGGAAATGGAAGGTAAGTGCTGCCTATTATACTGGGACCTGAGTGGAGAGGGGCCTATGTTACTGTATGTTCATTATTTTTTCATTCTGTTTGTATTCTTTGCTGCTATTGGTGGACAGTAAAGAAAGGGATATGCAATACTCGCCTCCGTGTCTTTAATAAAATCATGACTTTCCGTCATGTAATAGCAAAATCATGCAATTTATATACAAATGAGAGATAAAGTAGCTAAGACTTTATCAGTTTTCTCTCTTAATTTAAGCTTACAAATGATGCAAAACAGACATTGGCATGATTTATCTAACAATTATGCATACATTTATCTAACAATTATGCATAATTGTTTTACATAGCAATTATGAAAGTCCGTTTAGGCACTCTCAGTAGATGCACATGAACAGGTGAACAAAATGTTGAAAGAGGAAAAGTGCAAATAAATCACAGAGCTCCTATAAAAAAATATTGTATGCATTTTGTCGACACTGTTTAAATATAGACCAAATATGACCAACTTAATGTAAATAGCCCCCAATCTATGCATTCATTTTGTGGATCCTACTCACTAAATCACGAGTTGATAATCATCTTGGAAAATTAAGATCACAGTAGAGAAACGTGATGCACCCAAAGTCCAACATTTTAATTGAAACACGTTATGTGCAGAGTTCGCCAATCTCATCCATTCTAACAATTCTTATGTTGTGTTCTCACATCTCAAGCTGTTGGAAATGACGAAATAGAAAGAAAATCTGTTACCATCTTGAGCTCAGGCAGTAAGACCGCATACAGACCGGTGGGAATACATGATATAAAAACCCTATTTTATGTGTTTATAAAATAATGTTTGTTTGATTTACAAGGATCCAATGATCTTTTTTCTTGGTGTTGCAGCAAAATTATGCCAAAATTGCAGTTTACTAACTGTAATGCAAATTCGTAAAGGTTCCAGTTTGAGTGGGAGCTCCCACTCCAATGCTATACCAGGTGAGGTTAAGTGTAAAGTATCTATGACAACACAATTAACTATTTTAGGGGCACAGCAGAAAGCAGTCCCTAGAGTCACTGAAAGTGAAAATAAAATAAATTCTGTAAGCTAAGCAAGTCATTCACATGTCCATCTCTCTATAAGTGTTAGGGACCAGGAACCAGACAGAGACAGAACTAGATGCAAAAACACCTTTATTAATAAATAACAAAGAAATAACCAAAAGAGCGGGTAGTCAGACGAGCCAGGATCAGGAGAACGGAGATCAGCAAAGTCAGGAACAAGGCCAGAGTCAGGAACCAGGAACAAACAGGAAACACAGGAATAAGGCAACTTCTGGGGAACAGGAAACCACGCAAGGGCAAGGAGGTACTGGGATTTGCTGCTTAAATAGGCTGCACTGATTAGCAGCAGGGTTGATTACTATTCTCAGGTAAGTAATCGTGGCAACATAGTGAAGGAGCTGATCGTTAATCTCAGCTGAAAACTCAGAAACTGAAAAAGGAAGGGTTGCTGTTTAAAACAGCAAAGAAACCCTGACAATAAGATGGACCCAATCAATCACAGTGCTCCATAGATGTATAGTTATACACATTACCAGTCTTGCGGGATAGGAGATATAAGCTGTGATTGGTTGCTGTCGAAGCATGCATAGATCTTTATAAAGTTCCACCTTACATGATCCATCTGCATCGTAGGGATAATTGTGGCACAAAATTTTAAAAATGATATTTTGTAAAAATTATGAAAAATAAATATTATTATGTCTGACAGCATACCATCAAAGGACTCACGTGAATTACTTTTTGTTTTGGTTTTTTGTTGTGTTTTTTTGTTTTTAACTGTTTTGTCAGGATAATTTTTTTTTATACATCCATTTTTGGAGCTAAAAAGTTTTTTTTTAGGTCTCAGGGAACTCCACACTTTGTTAAACAAATTTCAAAATAATGAATTAATGAATTAATTGTGTTGGAAAGACCCATCCAGTTCTCTTATTGTGAGGGAGGCAATCGGATCTCTCTTGTGACATGTTGAGATCATAATGTGTAAATTAAAAAATATTTACACCCCATTTGCTTTCAATCTGACAACAGGTACTGTTACTTTCTGGTTTTGTTCGCTCAGTGGATCTAAACTCAAGAGGCACAAATGCTATGCATTTGTTTCACGTTCCACTTTTTGGAGATTTGGTTGTTGTCTAATCTGTAGACAGTTTTCTATCTTGCGGCAGGAGATTGTATTTTTGAAGTCTGAGATTTGTAAATTATCTGGTGAACAAACTCAGACTGGAACTGCTGCAAAGCCACTGCCGCAGAGACATACTAGGAATGGCAGATGGATTACTGTAGGATCTGGTAGACTTAGAGTTGTGGATAAAAGGCATTTTGCACAGTCTGTTGCTCTACACATAATTCATTTTCTGCACTTTCAGAGTGTAATGGTGTTGTGGAGTGAGGCACTGAGGCTAGTGCTGTTGTGGAGAGAGGCACTGAGGCTAGTGCTGTTGTGGAGAGAGGCACTGAGGCTAGTGGTGTTGTGGAGAGAGGCACTGAGGCTAGTGGTTTTGTGGAGAGAGGCACTGAGGCTAGTGGTGTTGTGGAGAGAGGCACTGAGGCAAGTGGTGTTGTGGAGAGAGGCACTGAGGCTAGTGGTGTTGTGGAGAGAGGCACTGAGACTAGTGGTGTTGTGGAGACCAGCTTGGAGACTATGGTGAGGCCTAATAGAAAGCAGTTGTTGTTGGGGGATTCCATTATAAGAGGTGTGGAAATGGACAATGGTGGTCTTGTTAGGTGTCTTCCCGGAGCTACTGCTCACAGAGACAGGAGATGTATCTGTAATATTGTTAAGCAAGCAAAGCAGGAAGGGGAATTGGATGTACTTGTCCATCTAGGGACAAATGACTTGGCTTGCAATGAGGTTTCAGAGGTTAAGGAAGTTTGTAGTGTTTTTGCCAATGATATACGGCAGGTTGCTTCCACACGGTCATTCTCTGAAGTTCTGCCTGTGCATAACACTCGACGACAGGCGGATGCGTATTAGGGACTTTAATTTGTGGCTTGATGAATGGTGTCGGGAGCAATGATTTGGCTTTACTTCTCTTGGTAGCTCTGTTTGAAATGGAAATAAGCTGTACAAAAAAGATGGTTTGCATCTTTCTCAAAAGGGAACAAATGTTCTCAGTGAGCAGTTCAGAGGTTTTGCTAGGATGTATTTAAACTAGGAGGGGGGGGCAAAAGGGTGATAAAACATCAATCCAATTGTCCACCAAAACAAGGACAGAAGGTGCCTGTAGCAAGTGTGTTAAAAAATTATAAGCTTAGAGTCATGTCTACAAATTATTGCAGTTTAGGGAAAAAGATCCATGAACTTTTGGCAATAATGGCAACTGATAGTGTAGATTTAGTCGCTGTTACTGAGACATGGTATAATGAGAAAAATGACTGGGACATAGCAATACCATGGTACTCTTTATATAGAAAAGATAGGAAAGGCAAGAAAGGGGGAGGGGTGGCCCTGTATGTGAAGGATAGCATAAAATCTAGCCTAATAAAAGTTATTGAGGCAAACATAGAGTCCGTTTGGGTTACGTTAGAATTTGGTAATCACACAGTAACTCGTGTAGGTGTGATTTATAGGCCCCCAGGACAAATTGAAGAGTTAGATAATCTACTAGTTGAGGAAATAGCCAAAATGACAATGAAGGGGGAAGTTATCATCATGGGTGACTTTAATCTTCCTGATGTAAATTGAAAAACAAAATTAGCTGCTTGTGCCAGGAGCACACATATTCTAAACTCCCTACTGGGATTGTCTCTAAAACAAGTTGTTGAGGAGCCAACTCGTAAAGAGGCCATACTAGATTTAGTGTTAACAAATGGAGATTTGGTATCAGATATTACTGTTGGTGAAAGTTTAGGATCCAGTGATCATCAGTCAGTGTGGTTTAATATAAGAACAGTGACTGAGTCACACCACACAAAAACAAAAGTTTTAGACTTTAGAAAAACAGACTTTTCTAAAATTAGAATGTGGGTAGAGGAGTCATTATCAGACTGGAGCAATTTAAATGGAGTTCAAGAGAAATAGGATTATTTAAAAGTTGCACTATTGAAGGCAACAGAAAATTGCATTAGGTTTGTCAATAAAAGCAAAAAATTCAAGAAACCACTGTGGTACTCCGCAGATGTGGCCAAAATAATTAAAAAAACAAAGAGTTAGCATTTGGGAATAATAAAAAAACCCAGAGTGAGGAAGACAAAATGATCTATAAGATTAGGCAGAAAGAGGCTAAGCAAGTTATAAGAGCTTCCAAATCACACACAGAAGAGAAAATAGCACAGTCAGTAAAAAAGGAGGACAAAATGTTTTTTAGATACATAAATGAGAAAAGAAAAGTAAAACAAGGATTAGTTAGATTAAAAACAAAAGAAGGAAGGTATGTAGAAGAGGATAAAGGTCTAGCTGACTGCCTCAATGAATATTTTTTGTTCTGTATTTACAGATGAAAATGAAGGAAAGGGACATCAGTTGAGAAAAAGGATAAATGAGTCATTTATTACACGTGAGTTTACAGAGGAAGAGGTTCTATTTCAACTCTCAAAAGTAAAGACAAATAAGTCAATGGGACCTGATGGAATACACCCAAAGCTATTAAAAGCGCTTAGTGGTGTACTAGCAAAACCATTAACAGATTTATTTAACCAATCATTGTTAACAAGAGTAGTCCCAGAAGATTGGAAGTTAGCGAATGTTGTGCCCATTTACAAGAAAGGTAATAGGGAGGAGTCCGGCAACTATAGGCCAGTAAGCCTTACTTCAGTAGTGGGGAAAGTGATGGAAACCATGTTAAAGGATAGGATTGTTGAACATCTAAAACACATGGATTTCAAGATCAGAGACAACATGGGTTTACTTCAGGGAGATCATGCCAAACTAATCTTATTGATTTTTTTTGATTGGGTAACTAAAGTTATAGATCAGGGTGGTGCAGTAGACATTGCTGACCTAGATTTCAGTAAGGCTTTGG